ATCCCCGAGAATGTTGAAATGTCCAAACCCTCTCAGTTCATGGCATCGTTCTTTGCAGAACTTTTCGAGGATAAACTATCTCAGACGCCAGAGATTGAGCATGCACATCGGTCCCTCGCACCTAAACCACGATCCGGCACACCACCGAGACCCATGATTGTACGCTTTCTTCGTTTTCCAAAACAGGGAAGAAATTTTACGATTTATTGAGTTGCTCTACAAGGAATCCAAGATTTTGATCTTTCCTGATTTTTCCACGGAACTCAAGAAACGACGGGATCAGTTTAAATCAGTCAAGGCGGAATTACATGGAGCCGGTGTCAAATTCAGGATGCTGTATCCCTGCAGACTTCTCCTTTCATTCAACGGCGAATCGCACAGCTTTGACAGCCCCGATGCTGTGTCTATGTTCCTTGCCACCGTGGTTAAACCTAAACAGTCAAGCGAAGTAGCTGCTGTGGATACAGGTAAATAGAGTATTTTTGGACAATGTTCCACTCGGGGCAGTAGCCCTATGTGAGCCGGGTCTGTTCCCTGATTGGTCATGGCATTGAAGTACTGCAATGTATCAGACTCTATGGACTTTTTGCATTATAAACATGTACAGACCATGCAACTTTTATTACTATTATTTTAATATGCAGTCTGTGAACCATTTGTTCCCCTTTTTCTTTATATATTTACAATCTGTTGCGGAGCTCTCTCCGAAAGTTCAGCGGAGAGAAGGTTTGTGCTGTGTTGTGGGTAACATTTGTACTACTTATGTACATTTCTTTTCTTTTTCTTACACTCTATCTCAGAATCTCAGCTATGTCAAGACAGAAGAAAGCCACATTCATGTTTTCATCATGTATATTCTTTTTGTTGTTGCTATAACCAATGAACACTAGCTTAGGTAAGGCTCAGTCTGGGGGTCATATGTAGGATATCAGACCGAATCATACAATCTAAGATTTGGTCAAACATGGTTGAAACATTAGGAGCACAAAATTTCCACAAGAGGCCCAAGACAACAGGATGTCATAAATCAGACCCTAGCCGGTCTGAAGCAAGCCTAAACCACTCTTTCACAGAACAGTTTTCAACATTAACACAAAAGAACACTTATTGACAATTCCAAGGAGATTGTCAATTTTGGGGCAAGTTATCAAGAATAATGGTCAAAAGAGATGCACAGCGTGACCGTCACATGGAAACATGTGATAGTGATCACAAGCTCTTCGGATTGACTTTTCCCCCCACCTCACGACAAAGAACAGACTTTCGGAAATTCCTTACAGACCTCTGAGAGAAGAGCTAGAATTACCTTTTTCCGCAGAGGAGATAGTGCAAGCAATTGAGAGTATGCAGAATGGCAGGACCCCTGGCCCGGATGGAGAAAGACCAAGAGGTTTTCTCAAACATTTAAAATGCCGCTCCTAAACATGTTATTGGACTCCCTTAATAATGGCTGTCTGCCTCCAAAGGAGGGTCAGTCTTGTATTTCTTTGATTTTGAAAAAAGACAAAGACCCACACGAATGTGGTTCGTACAGGCCAATCAGTCTTTTGAACGTAGATGTAAAGATATCTAATATATAAGATAAAGATAAAGATATAGAATCAGTTTTACCGACAATCATACATAGCGACCAAACTGGTTTTATTAAAAACAGATTACTGTTTCATAATATTAGAAGAGCATTTAATATAATTTATTCCTCTAATTCTCACCCATCAGAGGCTCTTCTACTGCTTGACGCAGAGAAAGCCTTTGATCGGGTGGAATGGGACTACCTTTTCTATGTGCTACAGAAATTCGGTTTTGGCAATACGTTCATATCCTGGATAAAACTTTTGTATTCCTCCCCAGTATGCTCCGTTCGGGCCAATGGTGTATCCTCCTCTAATTTTCCTGTTAAAATGTGGCACTAGACAAGGTTGCCCACTTTCACCTTTGCTTTTTGCACTGGTAATTGAACCACTGGCAATTGCCATTCGTATCGAGCAGGCTATACAGGGAATTACGAGAGCTGACGCTGTTCATAAAATCTCATTATACGCCGATGATGTGTTGCTCTATATCTCTGTCATACATAGCGACCAAACTGGTTTTATTAAAAACAGATTACGGTTTCATAATATTAGAATATTCATAATATTATTCCTCTAATTCTCACCCATCAGAGGCTCTTCTACTGTTTGAAGCAGAGAAAGCCTTTGATCGGGTGGAATGGGATTACCTATTCTATGTGCTACAGAAATTCGGTTTTGGCAATACGTTCATATCCTGGATAAAACTTTTGTATTCCTCCCCAGTATGCTCCGTTCGGGCCAATGGTGTATCCTCCTCTAATTTTCCTGTTAAAATGTGGCACTAGACAAGGTTGCCCACTTTCACCTTTGCTTTTTGCACTGGTAATTGAACCACTGGCAATTGCCATTCGTATCGAGCAGGCTATACAGGGAATTACGAGAGCTGACGCTGTTCATAAAATCTCATTATACGCCGATGATGTGTTGCTCTATATCTCTGATCCGGTTGTTTCTTTGCCCGAAGCTCTGAGAATTAAAAACTCTTTTAGCCTCTTCTCCGGCTATAAATTGAATATAAATAAAAGTGAGTTATATCCAATAAATTTTCCAATTTCTGATTTACCAATGAGTACTTCAATGTTTAAAGTTGCTTCCCATAGTTTTAAATATTTAGGAGTAACAATTACACGTAAGTGTTTAGATCTATTCAAGGCTAATTTTACCACGCTCCTCCAACGAGTCCAGAAAGATTTTACTCACTGGTCGGCTCTACCCCTTTCATTGGCTGGACGTGTGAATTCAGTAAAGATGAACGTTTTACCTAGATTTCTATATTTATTTCAATGTGTCCCAATCTTTATACCCAAATCTTTCTTTAATACTCTAAATCAACACATCTCATCTTTTATTTGGAATAAAGGACAAGCCAGAATTCGTAGAGAAATACGTCAGAAACCAAAGCTTGAGGACGGCTTGCCCTTCCCAATTTCTTATTTTACTACTGGGCAGCAAATATACATTCTACATTATTCTGGTTTCAAAGTCATTATGACTCAGAGCATGTTTCATACTCGTTATCCTGGCTAATGTACGTTTCAATCTATAAGAATAATCAGCCTACACTACCAGTCAAAGGTTTTTGAACTGCAAGATTTTTAATGTTTCTTAAAGAATTCTCTTCTGCTCACCAAGCCTGCATTTATTTGATCCAAAATGCACCAAAAGCAGTA